TTTTGCGGTACGCGGGGCATTTTTTTTTCCCCCCTGCATTGGCAGGCAGACTCTCAACCACTGCACCACCAGGGAAGCCCAATTTCATTCTTTTTTATGGCTATTATCCCATTGTATAAATATACCACATCTTTTTCCTCCATTCCTCTGTTGATGGACATTTAGGTTGTTTCCATGTCCTGGCTATTATAAGTAGCGCTGCAATGAACACTGGGGTGCATGTAATTTTCCAAATTATGGTTTTCTCCAGATACATGCCCAGGAGTGGGCTTGATGGATCATAAGGTAGTTCTATTTTTAGGTTTTTTTTTTTGCGGTACGCGGGGCTCTCACTGCTGTGGCCTCTCCCCTTGCGGAGCACAGGCTCCGGACGCGCAGGCCCAGCGGCCATGGCTCACAGGCCCAGCCGCTCTGCGGCATGTGGGATCCTCCGGGGCTGGGGCACGAACCCATGTCCCCTGAATCGGCAGGCGGACTCTCAACCACTGCGCCACCAGGGAAGCCCCTATTTTTAGTTTTTTAAGGAACCTCCATACTGTTCTCCATCATGGTTGTACCAATTTGCATTCCCACCAACAGCGTAGGAGGGTTCCCTTTTCTTCACACCCTCTCCAGCACTGTTTGTAGACTTTCTGATGATGGCCATTCTGAATGGTGTGAGCTGGTACTTGAGGTTTTGATTTGCATTTCTCTAATAATTAGCGATGTTGGGCATTTTTTAATGTGCTTTTTCTATGTAATCATTTAAAGCTAACTAGTTGCATCTGTAGGTTTTGATTGGAAGGAAGTCCACTAGTATGCTATCAAGTGAGAAAAGGAGGCTATACTTCAATGTGTTAGCACAATCCCATTCAAGCTACACCACTCCCAGCCATAACCCCCATTATGAAAATAAAGCTCCAATGTGGGTATGAAGGGGTATGGAGAAAAGGATGAAAGGCTTTTGATGTTGGCACTTCAGAAAATAGGTACAGATAGCTCTTTTTTCTGTTTTGTTTAAACCTTTGCAGTATATCTCATTTTTGGCAAAACATGTTACATAAATTTGGAATAGAACTCTCAAAGCTTGAAAATAGAAATATGTATACATGGGCAAAAAATCAGAATCATTTCTTTTTAAAATTTATTGAAGTATAGTTCAATTACAATGTTGTGTTAATTAATGCTGTAAAGTGACTCAGTTATACATATATTTTTTCATATTCTTTTCCATTATGGTTTATTGCAGGATATTGAATATAGTTCCCTGTGCTATAAAGTAAGACCTTGTTGTTATCCATTCTATATATACCAGTGCATCTGCTAATCCCGAACTTCCAATCCAACCCTCTCCCATCCCCCTCCCCCTCCCCCTTGGCAACCCCCAGTCTACAGAGAATCATTTCTTGACATTCATTATAACTATAACATTTATTATAACTCAAAAAATGTTAGAAATTGTAGAGAAAGTACAGATAAAATTTAGTAATCATTTCCCTTTTTAAAAAAATGCTCAAATTTTTGTTATAAATTGTCCTCCAGTGGGTTGATATTTAGCTATGACCGATTTAATCTGTCACATAATACATGTTTACATTAAACTTAGTATGTAATATTTTTCTAAAGTGTGGGGCAAAGGTGGAGTACACTGGATGGTGATTATTCCAAATGCTGTGACTGATTACACCCCATGAGGTGTGATTAAGAGGGCAATGCAGTGACCTCACAGCAGTTGAATATGCATATGCTGCTAACAGTTTACTACTTTCAGTGGATAAGTTGTTTTAGTGTCTAGTTTTCAACGCGCAAACACTACATTTATACATCACATTTTTTACAATCTGACAGATCAGGTCATGAACGATTTTATTCTAGACAAAACAATCCCTCTGTTTTCTTTTAATAGGCTGCTAGATTTGACTTGCTATTTTAATTGGAATACTGATATACCATTGAGTACAATGGATTATTTTTATAGCTGATTTGAGCTGGATGCTGTCCTTTGCCAAATTTGGTATAGGGGTTGTGTTAGCCTCATAGCTCATACTTTTTATATCTTAAAGACTTAGATTTTATCTACTCTAGTACTAGAGGAATTATATGGTGTAGCTCTTTAATTAGCTTCTTCTTGGTTCTTACTATATTCAGGAAACTACTACTTTTCCTGGATTTCAGACATACTAAAAAAAACTGCATATAAACATATACTGTGAGATGCTGAATGAAAACAGACATTTCCTACATCTTAACAAATCAAAGTTGTATATATATACACACACATATATGTTTAAGAAAATAATGCTTTTTCTATAATTTCACATACACTATAAAAAGCTGAATATAAACATTTTCTCATCTTACTAAAGTGGAATAAACGTGTATGTATAGGAAAATATTTTTTTCCAGGACTTGGATATATAAAGTTGAATATAAACTTATAACAGATAAGCACGGAATTTCTTAGTTCACACCCGTCCGGGCACAGGGCAGTTCTGAATTGTTTCATCATCTCAATAATGTCAAAGACACAAGTTATTCCTGTGCCAATCTGTTTCTCGCCTCCCCTGGTTGCAAAATGGCCATAATTCCAGGTATCACACAGACACAGAGACATGCATCCTGTATATAGGAAGACCATTTCCTCCTATTTTGTTAGTAAACAATATTTAACTGAACCTCACCTGCACACTTTTTGCTTAGATCTTCTATGGCCGGGACTGTTACACACATGCCCAGCTGCAAAGCAATTAGGAGGGCAAGCATCTGGCATTTAGACTTAGGTGGGCAGCAGGCAATCCTGGCAAAGGGAGAATGGTTAATACCAATGGACAGACAACCAACAGTGTCAGCCAAACAATACTGGCTTATTTCTTCATCTCCTTCATTTCTGTAGTTACATATCCTTTCTCACTTATGATGCTTGAGTTTTTTCTTTCTAGGGTGCAATCTTTTTCACTTCAAAAAGTTTAAGGTGTTTTTTTGGGCTTTGCACTTATTTTGTTAGAGCACCTCAACATACTAGAGTTGGATGCTTATTCATTCACTCTCTCATTCCTCTGATCAACATTTACTGGGAACCTACCAGGAATAGGCAGTGCACTAAGTATGAGGAAGTGAGAATGAATCCTCGCTCTGAATTTTCCCTGTTTTCTACATATACTGAAAGAAGTTAAATTCCCTCAGTAAAGCTTTGGTTGCGTCCTACAAATTTTAACATGAAGTTGTCTCTTTGTCATTCATTTGAATGACAATCTGCCTAATGATAATTTGCCTTGATTTCCTTTTCTAAAAAAAAAATACTTATTTATTTTTATTTTTGGCTGTGTTGGGTCTTTGTTGCTGTGCACGGGCTAAGCGGTGAGCGAGGGCTACTCTTCGTTGCGGTGCCTGGGCTTCTCAGTGGGTGGCTTCTCTTGTTGCAGAGCACGGGCTCTAGGCGCACTCGGGCTCAGTAGTTGTGGCTCGCAGGCTCTAGAGTGCAGGCTCAGTAGTTGTGGCTCGCAGGCTCTAGAGTGCAGGCTCAGTAGTTGTGGCGCACGGGCTTAGTTGCTCGGCAGTTTGTGGGATCTTCCCAGAGCAGGGCACGAACCCGTGTCCCCTGCATTGGCAGGCGGATTCTTAACCACTGAGCCATGAGGGAAGCCCTGCCTTGATTTCCTTTTTAATGTAAAAATTATTTATACAAGTATCTTAAATTTCCTTGTGGAGAAATGGATTTTGGCTGAGGCTTTATTTTCTAATTCACTAAAAAGAGAGGCCAGAGATCATGGCATATGTCTCTTGTTTTTTGGAAGGTCTTAAAAAAAATTATCTAAGTCTTCCCTCTGACCTCACAGCACCCCACTTTTATTCTACTGGGGTTCTTTACATTATGAACCCCCTAATGGGGAAAAAGGCAACCTATGAAAAGCTTCAGTTTTAAAATTTTTCTCCAGAAGGAAATATCTAACATTCCATGAAGAAAGATGATGTAAGATATTCCAATAGTCACTGCACACATAGGCCTTCCTCTCATATGATCTCTAATACACAATTAGGAAAACAAAATTAAGAATAAAGCCCCTCTAGGGCTTCCCTGGTGGCGCAGTGGTTGAGAGTCCGCCTGCCGATGCAGGGGACACGGGTTCGTGCCCTGGTCTGGGAAGATCCCACATGCCACGGAGCGGCTGCGCCTGTGAGCCATGGCGGCTGAGCCTGCGCGTCCAGAGCCTGTTGCTCCGCAACGGGAGAGGCCACAACAGTGAGAGGCCTGCATACCTCAAAAAAAAAAAAAAAAAAAGAATAAAGCCCCTCTTATTTAACACACTTTCAATATGAACCAGACACTATTCTAATGGATACAATGTACACAATGCTACTAAGAAATATGGTTCTAATATTACTAATTGATAAATGAGAGAATTTGGTTAAGTCATTAGCCCTATAAGAAATGAGTAATAATGGTGAAGCCAAGTAAACACTAAATATTGGTTAAATCCTTTCCCATTCCGATTCAGTTCAGAGCTTGCAAACATTTAACAAGAGTTGAATGGAATGGAAGAATCTGCTGCATTTTCAACAATGTAGCCTTCCTCTAGTATGAATTATCAGATGAATAATTAGTTAGCTAAAGCAAATTGGTGCTCCATATAAATATTTATGACTTATGATTTCCCATAAGGGCTAATTGACCCTTGATGTTGAGAAAAGTTAGAATGATTAATGTCTCTAACACTGCTTTCCTAATAAGCCTTCCCACTTTCTTTATATTCATGGAGTTTTTCACTTTTTCACCAATTGATTGATGTCTAATAAATTCTGAAACACAAATACACCCCTCTCAATTCATAACATTTATAAGGTTTTTTATCAGTAACAAATATCAAATTCTGGACTCCCTCACATCCACAGTATGAACTCTGATATTAAGTTGTTATCCTTAAATGCTTTCCCATATTCCTTACAATTACAGGGGGTTTTGTTTGTGTTTTACTAGTATGAATTTCCATGTGTCAATTAAATTCCGAGCTTCCCACATGTCTTCATTCACTCCTCTGTCCTGTATGAATTCTTTGATGTTGACTAAGGTGTGAGCCACGAATAAAGGCTTTCCCACATTCCTTACATTCATAGGGTTTCTCACCAGTATGAATCTTCTGGTGTCGACTAAGTTCTGAGCCACGACCAAAGGCCTTCCCACATTCCTTACACTCATAGGGTTTTTCACCACTATGACTCCTCTTGTGATGAGTAAGTTCTGACCTTCGAATAAAAGCCTTCCCACATTCCTTACATTTATGGGGTCTCTCACCAGTGTGAACTTTTTGATGTCGGATAAGTTCTGTGCTACAAGTAAAGGCCATTTCACATTCCCGACATTTATAAGGTTTCTCACCTGTGTGAGCTCTCTGATGTCTGGTAAGTTCTGAGCCACGACGAAAAGACTTCCCACATTGCTTACATTTATATGGTTTCTCACCAGTATGAACACTCTGATGTCGGACAAGATGTGAATCAGAGATAAAAGCTTTCCCACATTCCTTACATTTATGAGGTTTCTCACCAGTATGAATTCTTTGATGTAGATTCAGTTGTGAGGCACAACTATAGACCTTCCCACATTCCTTACATTCATAGCGTCTTTCACCAGTATGAATTATCTGATGAAGACTAAGTTGTGTGTCATAACGAAAAGCTTTCCCACATTCCTTACACTTATAGGGTTTCTCACCAGTATGGATTCTCTGATGTCGAATAAGGTGTGAGGGACGGGTAAAGGCTTTCCCACACTCCTTACATTCATAGTATTTCTCATCAGTATGAATTCTCTGATGTAAATTAAGTTGTGAGGTAGATGGAAATGGCTTTCCACACTCTGTACACTTATAGGGTTTCTCATCTATATGAATCCTTTGATGTTTACTAAGTTGCGAGTTAGAATGAAAGGCTTTCCCACATTCCTTACATTTATGAGGTTTCTCGGCAGTATTAATGCTCTGAGATTTAGTAATCTGAGCGTCACGAATAAAGGCACATTTCTTATTTTCATCACTTTTTTTGCTTTCATGAATTCTCTGATGCTTAATCAAGTCTGACCTACTATTAAAGGCTTTCCCACATTCTCCACATTTAGAGTCTTTTTCCTTATTATGACTTCTTTCATGTTGACTATGGTGTGATTGGTACCTGAAAGTCTTACATTCCTTGGATTCACAGGATTTTGCTCCAGTATGAGTTGTCTGAGGTGTTCTATGATCTGTGCGCTGAATGGAAGTGGATCTTTCTTCAGAGGTTATTGTGGCTTGTCTGAAACGTCCTTCCTGTAGCCTCTCCAAGTGGCATCTGATTTCCCTGTTACTTCTGACCCTAGTGTACTCAAGGGTAGAGTTTGTAAGTCTTTTTGTTATCTCTGGTTGCAATGATTGAACTTCATAACTGTCCTCCTTTAGCATCTTGATTTCTCTTCTAGACTCCCAATCTGTAAGATAACAAAGAAAATAGTGGGTATTTTCATGTTGCAGGAGAAAGGAAAGTTCTAAGGTAGAAATGACAAACTAAAAATAGTGAATAATGTAAACTCTTAACACTGCATTGCAACTTGAAAAAAAGGGTTGGGGGGAATAAGAACAGAGAATATGAGGGGAGCTTGTGAAGGAGGTGATTCTTTGCCTCTGGTAAGAATTAGAATCAGCTGGGGAACCTGTTAAAAATATAATGTCCAGGACCCAACCAACTAAATGAGAATCTAAAGGAGTAGGACATTATCTAACAGCAAATCCTCTCAACTCTTGCCTCAAATATATCCAGGTTTTGACTACTTCTACTAGTATCTCTAGTGGCGATCACGTTGTCCAAAGCCATCCCTCATCAAGATTAACAAAACACTATCCTGGAGTATCTCCCTACTTCCTCCTTATATTCCACACCCAACACAGTGGCTGTACTGTTCTTCTTAAAATAAGCTAGATCATGCCATTCTTCTGCTCAAAATTCTCCACTGTATTTCCCTCTCATGCAGAGTAAAAGTCAAAATCCTCCTGTGATCTACAGGGCCTTCCCTGAACTTGTCCTGCACTACCTCATTCTAAACTCAATGGCTATCTCCTCCCCTCAGCTGACTCTGTTCCAGCTCCCTGACCAACTGGATGTCAAACTTGCCAAGCACACCTCTCCTTCAGAATCTCTGCCTGCAAATATCTTCCCTTAGATATCAATATGGCTCATTCAATTACTTCATTCTGAACTCTATGCAAATGCCGACTTAAGAGACCACTATTTTTTTTTTTGGCCATGCCCCATGGCATCTCAGTTCCCCAACCAGGGATTGAACCCGGGCCCTGGCAATGAAAGCACTGAGTCCTAACCACTGGGCCACCTGGGGATTCCCCAAGAGACCACATTTTACAAAACAGGACTCTCATCCCTCTACTTACTGCATTTTTCTGCAGTACACATGTCATTTAATCTATTTCTCCAACATTATTACGAAAACTTTCAAACATAAAGAAAAATGAAAAGAATCAGACAGGGAACCCCCATATTCCCAACTAGCTAGATTCTACAATAAACATTTGGCTCTACTTGCGTTTTCACACATCTATCTACCCCTCCATCCATCAGTCCATCTTGCGGACATTAGTATACTTCACCTCTAAACTCAACAGATTATATTTTAACTTGTTTATTTCTGTATTGTCTGCTCACCCTTCACTGTACCTATACAGAGTAAATACTCAATGACTGTTTGGTGAATGAATGGCCATTCGTTTTTTTTTTTTAATCTCCCTCACTGATTGAGGCAACTCAAAGTGTGGCACTCACTGTTTAAATACAGTGCCTTTCCCACTGCACTTCAAAAAAAATAAAAAATTCCCTACCAGACCTGCAAAATTCTATAGTATCTGGCCCCTGCTTCCCTATTCACCTTCATTTTGAGGTGCTCTCACCTGGACTCATCATGAGCTCACTATACTGGCATCCATTTGACTCCCATATCATGCCAATTACTTTCTCATCTTAGACCCTTTTAGGAAATGTTTCATCTTCCATGAATGTTTTGTGTTCCAGGATCTCTCCATGGCCAGTTTCTCTCATTCTAAATATATTAATTTTCTGTCATGTATCCTGTTCTTTGCCCTCGATCTTTTTCTCAGTTCTGGAATTACATATTTGTTCATCAGTTTATCTACTGGTATAATTTCTCCTAAGTGGCCTAGAATTAACATAATACTTATTGTATGCTCTGTGATATAACCAACCCCAGCATACAGTTCAATTAATGTTAAATAAACTAATCAGTAGATTAAGCATATTCAAATGGAAATAAAGAGAAATAAGCTAAAGATAATGAGATTAGGGCTTCCCTGGTGGCGCAGTGCTTGGGAGTCCGCCTGCCGATGCGGGAGACGCGGGTTCGTGCCCCGTTTCGGGAAGATCCCACATGCCGCGGAGCAGCTGGGCCCGTGAGCCATGGCCGCTGGGCCTGCGCGTCCGGAGCCTGTGCTCCGCAAATGGGAGAGGCCACAACAGTGAGAGGCCCGCATAACGCAAAAAAAAAAAAAAAAAAAAAAAAAAAAAAAAAAGATAATGAGATTAGCAGAGTGACTTGAGATTCACTTATCACTCCATGCTTCTAAATATTTAACAGGTGACAGAGGTGTCTTCCTGCCTCTGATTCCTGCCCAGCTTCAAAATGCTCTCCCTACATCACTTCTGATGCATATGGCAGTTAACACAGGAGCAAGCCTGTGCCATTAGAGCAAATCTGTTCATGTGCCTACACCAGTGTCCTAGAATACTGACAGTTTTACACAACAATAAAAATCTATGTAATCCTACTCAATAACAGCCTAATCAAAAAATAGGCAGAAGACCTAAATAGATCATACAGATGGCCAACAAGTACATGAAAAGATGTTCAACACTGTTAATTATTAGAGAAATGCAAATCAAAACTACAATGAGGTACCACCTCATCCTGGTCAGAATGGCCATCATCAAAAAGGCCATCATCTCCTGGGCATATATCTGGAGAAAACAATACTTTGAAAAGATACATGCACCCTAATGTTCACTGTAGCACTATTTACAATAGCCAAGACATGGAAGCAACCTAAATGTCCATTGACAGAGGAATGGGTAAAGAAGATATGGTACATATACAATGGACTACTACTCAGCCATAAAAAAAGAATGAAATAATGTCCATCCATGTTGCAACCTAAATGTCCATTGACAGAGGAATGGGTAAAGAAGATGTGGTACATATACAATGGACTACTACTCAGCCATAAAAAAAGAATGAAATAATGTCCATCCATGTTGTTGCAGCAACATGGATGGGCCTAGACATTGTCATACTAAATGAAGTCAGAAAGAGAAAGACATATATCATATGTATCACTTATATGTGGAATCTAAAATATGACACAAATGAACTTATATATGAAACAGACTCACAGACATAGAGAACAGACTTGTGGCTGCCAAAGAGGGTGGGTGTGGGGAGGGATGGATTGGGAGTTTGGGATTAGCAGATGCAAACTTATTATATAGAGAATGGATAAACAACAAGGTCCTATTGTACAGCACAGGGAACTATATTCAATATCCTGTGATAAACCATAATGGAAAGAATATGAAAAAGAATATGTATATATATGTATAACTGAATCACTTTGCTGTATAGTAGAAATTAACACAACATTGTAAATCAACTATACTTGAATTAAAAAAGTGAACTTCAATAACTACTATTATCAGACAAAACAGACTTTAAGACAAAAATTATAACTAGAGACAAAGGAAATTTTATAATTGACAATTTTATAATGACAATTTTATAATTTTATAATTACTATATAATAAGAAGGAAATTATGTAACAGTTATAAGTATATATGCACCTAATAATAGAGCCCGAAAATACATGGAAGCAAAAACCTACAGAATTAAAGGGAAAAAGTAGCAGTTCAACAAATTGAAGACTTTAATGCTCTACTTTCAATAATAGATAGGTCGACTTGCCAGATCAACAAGGAAACAGAAAACAACATACTCTTAAAAAACCAATGAAACAAAGAAGAAATTACAAGAGAAATTAGAAAATACTTTTCAGTATGAATGAAATGAAAACTCAACATACCAAAACTCATGGGATATAGTTAAAACAGGTCTTAAAGGGAAATGTATAGCTTAAATTGCCTATATTAAAACCACAAAAGATCTCAAATCCATAATCTAACTTATACACCTAAGGAACTAGAAAAAGAAGAGCAAACTAAACCCAAAGATACCAGAAGGAAGGAAATAAAGAGAGAAGATAAATAAAATAGAAAAAAAATAGAGAGAATGAAAGTGGGGATATTACTACCAACATTACAGAAATTAAAAGAATTTCTAGGGAATACTATGAACAACTATATGCAACAAATTAGACCACTTAGATGAAATGGACAAATTCCTAGAAAGACAACTACCAAAACTAACTCAAGAGGAAAGAGAACATATGAATAGGCCTACAAAGAGATTGAACAGTAATTTAAAAATCTTCCCAGCCCGCGCGCCTAGAGCCCATGCTCTGCAACGGGAGAGGCCACCACAGGGAGAAACCAGCACACCCAAGAGAGGGGTGGCCCATGCTGGCCACAACTAGAGGGGGCCTGCGCACAGCAACGAAGACCCAACACAGCCCAATAAATAAATAAATAATAATTAAAAAAACCTTCCCACAAAGAAAAACCCAGGACCAGATGGCTTCACTGCTGAATTCTACTAAACACTTAAAGAAGACTTAATACAAATCGTTCACAAACACTTCAAATACAAATCCCTCACAAACACTTCAAAAAAACAGAAGAGGAGGGAATACTTTCCAATGAATTCTCAGGCCACTACTACCCTGATATCAAAACCAGAAAAAGGCATCACAAGAAAACTATAGATCAATATCCCTTACTTAATATAGACACAAAAATCCTCAACAAATAAAACCAAACTAAATCCACCAACAAATAGTAAGGGTAATACATCATGACCAAGTGTGATTTACCTGGGCAATGCAAAGTTGGTTTAACACCCAAAAATGTATCAATGCAATATACCATATTAATAGAACAAAGGATACAGACCACATATCTCAATATATGTAGAAAAAGCAGTTAAAAAAAGTGTTCTAAAACCCTTTCATGATAAACACATTTGACAAACTAGGAAAAGTGAAGCATTATTCACAGTAGCCTAAAAGTGGAAAACCATCCAAATGTCCATCATTTGATGAATGGATAAACAAAATGTGCTATAGTCACAACATGGAATACTATTTGGCAATATAAAGAAATGAAGTAGCAGTATATGCTACAGCATGTATGAACCGTGAAAACAAACATTCTGCTAATTTTAAGAAGCCAGTCACAAAGACTACGTACTGTGCGATTTCATTAATATGAAATGTCTAGAACGGCCAGCTCTATAGACAGAAAGCAGATTAGTCGTTGCGTAGGGCTGGGTGTGGGGAGTGACCACTAATGGGTATGGGATTTCATTTTGGGGTAAAGGAAAATGTTTTAAAATTAGATTGTTGTCATGGTTGCAAAACTCTGAATATACTAAAAGCCACTGAACTGTATCTTTAAATGAATGAATTTTATGATATGCCAATTATATCTCAACAGAGCTATTTTTAAGTCAGGACAAAACTGGACCCAAAGTGCAGGGTAAATGGTTGTCTCGTGGGAAAGAGGAAGGCACTTCCTTCCTGAAATCAGAAGGAATAAGAGCAAGGGTAGCATGAAAGTGGTAAGTGGAATGAAAATTTGGGGGCTCATGCTGAAACATCCCTACTTTCTTCTCCAGATCTCAGGCTTTTCAGGGAGCTTTCCTACCAACATCTCAGAAGTGCTGCCTGCCTTCTCACAGGCCAGGTGGGTGACTACCTGCCATGGCCTTTCCCATATAGTAACCATTACTCACCTGGGCACCATTCTTTTGTCTCCTTGCTGTTAACCATCCAAGGTTCCTTCCCCTGCTCCAATAAGGAGATCACATCTGGCTTAGAATCACAAAATCCTGTTCAAGAAAGAAAAAAAGGACCAAGTTATGATGTGAATGTCCCAGAATTAAAATCAGTCCATGATTATCAGGAAAGAGGAGTAAGTAAATTAAGTGTCAGAGAAAAGGATGAAGAAGATAAAGTCTGATGGAGCAGCCAATTTCTAACTTCACAAGGCGCAAAAAGCATTCTTTGGTAAGCAAGAATCATTAATTCAGTCAAGCACTTGGGAGGCACTCACAAGAAATTTATAACAATAAACATAAAAATTCTAGAAGGCCAATTCTGAATTCTGGAGGGCAGGTAAACTTACCCAGTGAGATCAGAGTATTATAATTCTCCAACATCACATCTCGGTACAAATCCTTTTGAGCAGAGTGCAAGCACTCCCACTCCTTTTGAGTGAAGTAAATGGCCACATCTTTGAACTTCAAGTCCTGAAACCACAGATAAAAATACACAGAAATTAACGGGCAAAATCTTTACAATAAAATAAAAGAAATTTTGAAAATGTAATTCAATAGGGGAATGCCGTTGGGAAAACAGGATGTGCTGGACCTTTCAACATGAGTAAGTCAACAGCTCAATATCAAAAACAAACAACCCAATCCAAAAATGGGCAGAAGACCTAAATAGACATTTCTCCAAAGAAGACATACAGATGGCCAAAAGGTACATGAAAAGATGCTCAACATCGCTAATTATTAGGAAAATGCAAATCAAAACTACAATGAGGGATCACCTCACACTGGTCACAATGGCCATCATCAAAAAGTCTACAAAGAGGGCTTCCCTGGTAGCGCAGTGGTTGAGAGTCCGCCTGCCGATGCAGAGGACACAGGTTCGTGGCCCAGTCCGGGAAGATCCCACATGCCGTGGAGCGGCTAGGCCCATGAGCCATGGCCGCTGAGCCTGCACGTCCGGAGCCTGTGTTCCGCAAGGGGAGAGGCCACAACAGTGAGAGGCCCACGTACCGAAAAAAAAAGTCTACAAAGAATAAATGCTGGATAGGGTGTGGAGAAAAGGGAACCCTCCTACACTGTTGGTGGGAATGTAAATTGATACAGCCACTATGGAAAACAGCATGGAGGTTCCTTAAAAAACTAAAAAGAGAGCTACCATATGATCCTGCAAGCCCCTCCTGGGCATATATCCAGAGACAACCATAATTTGAAAAGATACACGCACCCCAGTGTTCACTGCAGCACTACTGACAATAGCTAAGACATGGAAGCAACCTAAATGTCCATCTACAGATAAATGGATAAAAATGATGTGGTACATTTATACAATGGAATATTACTCAGCCATAAAAAAGGAATGAAATAATGACATTTGTAGCAACATGGATGGACCTAGAGATTATCATACTAAGTGAAGTAAGCCAGACAGAGAAAGACAAATATCATATGATACTGCTTATATGTGCAATCTAACAAAAAAGGATACTGGCTTCCCTGGTGGCGCAGTGGTTAAGAATCTGCCTGCCAATGCAGGGGACATGGGTTCGAGCCCTGGACTGGGAAGATCCCACATGCTGTGGAGCAACTAAGCCCGTGCGCTACAACTACTGAGCCTGCACTCTAGAGCCTGCGAGCCACAACTACTGAGCCCACATGCTGCAACTACTGAAGCCTGCACGCCTAGAACCCGTGCTCTGCAACAAGAGAAGCCACCACAATGAGAAGCCCGTGCACTGCAACAAAGAGTAGCCCCCGCTCGCCGCAAGTAGAAAAAGCCCGCACGCAGCAAGAAAGACCCAACACAGCCAAAAATAAAATAAATAAATTTATAAAAATAAATAAATAGATTTTTAAAAAGATACAAATGAACTTATATACAAAACAGAAATAGACCCACAGACATAGAATACAAACTTATGGTTACCAAAGGGGAAAGGTGGGTGGGGGAGAGATAAATTAGGAGTTTGGGATTAACGTATATACACTACGCTTTATAAAATAGATAATCAATAAGTACCTACTGTATAGAACAGAGAACTACACTCAATATTTTATAATAACTTATAAGGGAAAAGAATCTGAAAAAAATATATGTATAACTGAATCACTTTGCTGTACACCTGAAACTAACACAACATTGTATCAATAAATTGATTATACTTCTATTAGGGAAAAAAAAGAAAGAAAACATGGATAGGTCAGTGTGGAAACAAGGATGATCACAGAACACGTTCTTGGTGCACACATCATTCTTTTTTTTTTTTTTAATTGAAGTACAGTTGATGTACAAATTATATGTTTCACATATATAACAGTGATTCACAATTTTTAAAGTTATATTCCATTTATAGTTATTATAAAATATTAGTTACATTCCTCGTGTTGTACAAATCATTCTTAAACATGCTTGCTACTACAGATATAACCTCTCGGCATTATCCTTTTCCATTGTTTATTCCCAGGCCTCGGTGGATAGAGTCCAGATAATTGGTGTCTTCCAATTAAATGAAGCTGTACGTATATGTACATAGCACATGCTATGTTCAGCACATAACACTGTGACCATCTCCTTCCATTCTCTCATTTAAAAAATTTGTTTAGAAGTCTGAAGAATTCAGGAATTCCCTGGCGGTCCAGTGGTTAGGACTCAGCGCTCTCACTGCCAAGGGCCTGGGTTCAATCTCTAATAGGGGAACTAAGATCCCACAAGCCACGCGAACAGCAAAAAAAAAAAAAAAAAAAGTCTGAAGAATTCAAAGATATCTTTAAAAATCTCTCTCTCTGAACACAGGATTTGGATATAACTTATGTGAATTAATTTCTTAAAAACTCAGGCTCATATTCAATCCTAGCTGTTTTCCATGTCGCTATAAATAAACATAATTTTCATTGGCTGTATGATGCCCCATCTTATGTATTCAATGTTCTTATTTTGCAGCACTAGCTTAGACAAGTTCTCTTGCGGTTACAAGAGTCGTTACTTCTCAATAATTTATGCATCTGGTTAAACTGTTCCTGTTACAATAAGTTGTCCCTAACTATACTTTCCGTGGTCCAGAACTACCAGGACTGGTGAAGTAAGATGCAGACTCACATTGATGTGACCCAAGATGAGTATACACCACACAAGTTCAAATGGACCTACAGACTCCTTGGAATGTATCACATAACTTCATATATTGAATCTATCATATTCCCAGTCAAAAAAAATCTCAAAGCTAAAGACACGGGCAAATACTGAGAATGCAACAAATCAGTGTCAATTACCTTCTTGTTTATCTGGAAAACCCAAGTTTGCAACATGGAATCTCACTTAATGACTCACATCCACTTCATCCAAGCACAGCTCGAACAAGGGAGGTATAAAATTTTCAGCAAGGGTTGATTTTCCCATTCCATCAGTACTCCTGGTGGAAGGATAAGCACTTATGGAATGCTAAGGGGTTTTCTGAATAAATAGCTAAACATTTGTTGGAGAACAGAGAGACACTTATGGGACAGCAGCCTTTGGTAGCATCACTCATTGGAATAGGAAGAAGTGGGGAACAAGCCTTGGAAAGGCTCAGGGAGGCAGGCAGTTTCAGGAAAAAGAAATCCACTGTTGAAATCTTCCAGAATAAAAAATGCTTTCAATTGAGAGAAGAAACATCAGTTCATATAAACAATGGCTTTTAGGGTTACAAAACCAGATCATTTATATCCTGGGCTCATCTAAGAGAAAAGCAAGCTTAAAAAGGCAAAGGAAGAAGAAGCAAGAGCAGCCTTGAGTCACCAGACTGACCTCAGAGTTCCCAAAGGACTGAAAATGAATTTTCCTCTCTCCTCCTCTGTTCCTATCTCCCTGCTTTTGGCAAGCCAGTGCATACACACACACACACAGAGTCTCTTTCTCTTTCTTGATTTGAAGGAGAATAACAAACCTTTGCTTTCCCTGAATCCCAGGGAATCCAACTGTCCATAATGTATTGGTTCTGCACTGCAAAGACCTGGGACCTCTAGGACCAGGCCCTCAGAGTAAGGAAAACGTAGAAGCAGCACTCTCATTCTCAGGGGCTACAAGGAAAACTGCCTGACTTGAACTCTGGCTGCTGGTGGAAGGAAAATATTCTCCCCTGAGGAACTGTAACCACAAATTAGCCCTCACACAGGTCTCAGCTCACATTCCTATTACTAAAGTGAATCTAAAAAACCTACCATCTATGAATCTACTTTAACGTGGTTCTGGTTTGGCGGTGCTCCTGGAAGAAGCAAGCCCAGATGTGTCCTAGAGGAACAACCTTCATCCAGACCTCAAGAATCCATGGGTAGAATTCCAAGGAAAATGACCAAAGAGTCAAAAATAATAAAACAACACAACACTGTGAATGAACTAAATGCCCCTGAGCTGTACATTTTAAAATGATTAATTGTATGTTATGTGAATTTCACCTAAATAAAAAATTAAATAAAAATGAAACATGCAAAGAGGCATAATTCCATGATCCAAGAGGCAGGAAAATCAACTGTTTCAACTTTCATTATATTTGAAAATTTCCATAATAAAATGTTGGAGAGAAAATATCACACCTGCAAAAATTTACATATTATGCAGATAACACAGGTATATGATTTTTTAAAAGGGGGTAAGGTATTGGGCTTCCCTGGTGGCGCAGTGGTTGAGAGTCCGCCTGCCGATGCAGGGGATACGGGTTCGTGCCCCGGTCTGGGAGGATCCCACATGCCGTGGAGCGGCTGGGCCCGTGAGCCATGGCCGTTGAGCCTGCTCGTCCGGAGCCTGTGCTCCACAATGGGAGAGGCCACAACAGCGAGAGGCCCACATACGGCAAAAAAAAAAAAAAAAAAAAGATTAAAAGGGGGTAAGGTATTAAGAAACAAAACTCCACGAAAATAACAGATAGATTTAAAAGAAAAAAATTTTAAACTTCTAGAATAAAAAACACAATACCTAAAATTAAATCATACAATGGCTGGAATAAATATCTCTGAAGAGAAAAATTACTGGGCTGAAATATTTAAAAAGAAATTACGCAGAATGCTATCAAAGACTGGGGGAAAGTATAAGAGGTTAAGAAGATAAAGTAAGAAAGTTTAACAGATATCTAACGAGTTCTAGAAGAAAAAAGGAGAAAGGACTGAAAAAGGTAGTAATTGAAGATAATGGCTAAGACATTTTCACAACTGGCAAAAGAAAGCATTATTGAGAAGCCAAATGAGTCTCAAACAATAAATAAAAAGAAATCCAGGGCAATTATATCAAAACTGCAGAGCATTATAAACAGAGACTATGTTAAAAGTAATTTGATATTAAAGACAGGTTGTCTACAAAAGAATAACAGTCTGATTGACAGATGTCTATTCAACAGCAACAATGTAAATCAGAGATGACAGAATAAAAAATTCCCTCTCACAAGGAAGGACAAATAAAAACATTTTCAAAAAGCCAAAAGAACAGAAATTCTTTAATGTATGTACTTCCAACTAAAGGAAAGTGTTCCCAGATAGAGGGTTTGAGATGTAAGAATGGTGAATGGTGCCGTTCTTTAAAATGGCAAAAATGTGGATAAACTAAGCTAACATTCAATATATAAAATAATAAAAATGTTTTATGGACTAAAAAAACACAATGAAAGAAAAATACATGACTACAATATAAGTTGCTTGATCAGCTAGAATATCTAGTTCCTTATACTATTCAGCAAGAGCATAAAGATGTTCTTTAGTTTCAGACACTGGTAAGAAAGTATGTTAAAATGTCTAAGGTAACCAATAAATAAACAAACATAGTTTATAACTTTCAAACTCACAGAAGGGAAAAGGGAATGAGATAATAAAATACAAAAAAGGTAGAATAAAAAGCACAAACTAAGTCAACAAAGATACTTTCAATTATGTCAGTAATTACAACCACTGTATAGACTAAATGCTCCATTAAAAAATACAGTTGGTCAAAAACCAAAACCCAGTTATATGCTGTTTATAAGAGACACACCCAAAACATAAACATCCAGAAAGACTGGAAATAAAAGGCTAGTAGATAACGTGTACACACCTAACAAATAATAAATATATATAGTACATACACATACACACAAAACAAAAAGGAACAGAATTATGACAGATAAACCCTCATCATTATGGGAGATTTAACATACCTCTCAAAATAACTGATAGATAACACAGATAAAAAGTCAGTAAAAATAGAGAACATTTAAATAATAAAACTAGTGAGATTCATTTATTGGCCACATACAGAAAAATGCACCCAACTCCAATAATAATCATCTCAATCATATCTGGAAGATTCAGAAAAACTGACCACACTGGACTTTAAGACAAGACAGAAACATTTTTCATGAATACATACTAATAAAAAGATGCACCTTAATAGGATTGCCTATGGGGGTGGTGGTGGTAAATGGAATGGAAGAGAAGTAAACAAATAATCAGAACAAGTGAACAACCTTGCCCAGACCAATAACAATGTGCCATGAAGTGAAGATTATGATTAACACTGCACTCAAAGCCTCCCCCCATCCTACCAAAGGAAAAAGAAAAAAGAAGAGAAGGGAACACTATGACATATTTTATGAGGCTAGACCAGAAGTCAGCAAACTTTTTCTATAAAGGGACAGAAAGTAAATATTTTATGTTTAAAATTTTATTTATTTATTTATTTATTTATTTTTGCTGCATTGGGTCTTTGTTGCTGCGTGCAGGCTTCTCATTGCGGTGGCTTCTCTTGTTGCGGAGCACGGGCTCTAGGCGCACGGGCTTCAGTAGTTGTGGCTCGCAGGCTCTAGAGCACAGACTTGTGGTGCACGGGCTTAGTTGCTCGCAGCGTGTGGGATCTTCCCGGACCAGGGCTCAAACCCATGTCCCCTGCATTGGCAGGCAGATTCTTAACCAGTGAGCCACCAGGGAAGCCCAAGTAAATATTTTAAAGTCTGTGGGTCATTACTGTCTCTTGTAACTACTCTACTCTCACGGGGGCATGGAAGTAGCTGTAGACATTACATGAATGAATGAGTGCGGCTATGTTCCAATAAAGCTTTATTTATGGACACTGAAATCTAAATTATACCATTTTCATATGTCATAAAATATTATTCTTCTTTTAATTTTTTTTCTAACCATTTAAAAATGTAGAAAACATTCTTGGCTTACAGGCCAGGGCCACAGTTTGCTGACTCTTGGACTAGAGTAACCTTGACAACATAACTTGCATAAAGATTTTATGAAAAATGGAAATTATAGGCCAAGCTTACACATGCTACAGATGTAAAAATTCTTTTTTTTTTTGAGGTACGCGGGCCTCTCACTGTTGCGGCCTCTCCCGTGTGGAGCACAGGCTCCGGATGCACAGGCTCAGCGGCCATGGCTCACGGGCCCAGCCGCTCCGCGGCATGTGGGATCTTCCGGGACCGGGGCACAAACCCGTGTCCCCTGCATCGGCAGGTGGACTCTCAACCACTGCACCACCAGGGAAGCCCAGATGTAAAAATTCTAAATAAATTATTAGCAAACTGAATTCAGCAATATGAAAAAGAATCATAATACATCATGGCCAAGTTAGGTTTCTCCTGG